AATGAAGTAGTCGCACATAAGGATTCTGAGAGCAGTGCCGCTAAGTAATGAGAGCAAAATCCGAAGGTCTAAGTGCTATTATTTGGTACTAATGAGTCTGTAAAGATACCAGCCATAAGCTGTGGTAGATACACATGAAGCATACATCTTTATCCGTATGTTGAAGTGATATTTCAGTGTGACGGTGTCAGACCACCTTTTCAAGCGGTTGCTAAGCTCTCACAGTTCGATGCTGCGAAATCAATCCAAGATCAACAGTTTCTTCATACTGTTCAAAATAATTTGTCGTCGGTCAAAGGCCCTCCGTCAACTCACGCACAGTATCAGCTTGCTCATGCGGTTCGCTTCAGTTTATACATACGACAGTTTCCTGGTTTGAACCTTTGGTGCACAGCACGCGCATAGTGTGGTGAGAATGAGGTAATTGACGACAAGGTTCTTTGTTAAGGCTTCTTCATGCTCTGGTGAAGGCAATGATCCTGGTCGATCAGCGCATGATCGTAACCAAGGTGACGAGGAGAATCTGGAACACATTCGACACAAGGTTATTCTCGGTTATCCATCGTGACTTTTCGTTGTAGCGATTAGCTTTTTCACATTAAAAACAAAGCTTGACTGGGTTTAATAGGCATACTTAGTACCTTGATAAAGTTATTCTTTGAAAAACCCAATTTCATGATATTCAGGCGAATTCGGCACAGGAGCGGTTCCTTATACAAAATGCCATACGTCGCCGAATCTGGCTCTCTTTCAGTGACGACAAAGGTTTGAGCCCTAATTTCAGCTTCACGGTTTCGTATTTGATGCTGTTTTAAACCCTCAGTACTGCCGCATCGTAATTTTTGCTGACAATAGGTTTTTCTTGAAACAATTTGGCAATACACATAAATTCTAAAGTTACATTTCAGGCGGCGAAGACTGTTCACGCCACGAGCAGTATTCGGATACAATATTTTGGTGTATTGACTTTGTTTTCACTAAGCAGCTAGAAGATGGATCGGCATCGGAATATTCTTATCGTGTCCAAAATATACCTGAAACAATCAGGCTTGTCACAGTCAGTCCTCTTCTTGTTTTCGTTTGGACTTTTCGGGTCTCGGGTATATGTCGAGCCTGTCCCTTTATTAAGGTCCTGAAACAATTCCTCAAACCTCGGCAACACGGGTGTGTTGTTTCGAAATCCGATTTGGATATGGACAAAATGACTCCTTTTATTGAAGCTGGAATAGAAAATGTCAATGGATTCATGTTGGTGCCCAATTATGAACCAGAGAGGTAGTGGTACTGATTTTAAAGATTACAAACAACTCGAATAATCTCCCATTGTCTTTATCTTTTTAGGTACTACGTAATCAACTTCGAGAAAGATCTTCTGCATAATACTCGAAATAGAGTTATTGTCAATCATCCAAGAATTATCGTAACCTTGAACACTGAGTTTATTTCATCACATCAGGTACTGTGTAAATTCCTTTTCTTTGTTGATAAATTTTAATGGCTCGTTACCACTTTTCGATTTCTTTTCGCAAACGAAATTGTGGCAATTACTAACCACAATCTATAATGAATAATTAGGAATCATCCTTGTTCATTTTTAATTTTGCAGCTAGTTTCGGAAGCGGAGGCCGAAGAAATAAGAGAAAAGCAACGTCAATCACGAGCGATGGGCCAAGCTGCTGAGGATGTTGGACGTTTCCCCATTCTTTTTTTAGAGCTGTTTTTTTTAAAGTACCGATGCAAAAAAACCATCTTCCTCCTATGAGTAAGTGATTATAGGGTTGTGGAAGCGTGTTTCATCACGGCGGTAGGGGTGGTGGTTTTCGAGGCGGACGCGGAGGACCTCGAGGAGGATTCCGCGGTGGTTTTCACGGAGGTTCGCATGGTCACAACAACCGTGAAGCGCAAAGAGGCGGCTCAAGAGGATTCAGAGTATGGCCTACTGTCATTTATTATAATTATATCTATAATTATTATCGTACTTATCATTGTGTATCGATTAATGTTTCGAGCAAGTTGTTTTCAGGGCCGCTTCGATGGAAAAAGGACGAGGAACTTTGATGACGATGATACAGGTTTCCGTAGCAAGAGAGGCCGAGGTGGTAGAGGCGATAGAGGACGCTCTCACAATTACAGGTTTGAATACAGGCATTGGTTAGGGTTCCTTGGTTTAGATCACTCGCTTATTCTTAACTGGCAAGGGTTAGACCGTGGATGTTATCCCAATTATTTTTGTTCTGTTTACTGCTTTTTCTTGCCTTTAGGAGTTTGGACGACGAATTCGACCCATTTGAGCCATTTGAAGGGCCCGTCCGTCTGCCACGTTCTTATTTGGGTAGCAAAGAGGGTAGTAAGTCAGAAAATGGTACTGCTAACAGCAACTCAGAAAAGAAGGATCAGGAAAACGTCGGTTGAACAATTGAGCTCATTTTTATGGTTTGGAATTTGTGATGGTTCAGACCACTGACTACCAATCTCCAATTTCAATCTCAAGCACATACATACATTCATCCATTGTTTTGGTATCTTGCTCTTATTTTTCTCAAGGTAGACGGTCTCTTTTTCCCTTTGACATTTTTTCTCTTTCATAAATTCATCGCGGAATGAGTCTAAAAATTTCTATTCGCTCCTTTATTTCTACTTTCGGTTTTCCAGTTGTGTTGTTGTTTCCTTGTTACTAGTTGTGAGCTTGATTGCAGGTTGTACATTACTAGTTGACATTAACCATTTGAATCGAATAGTTTAGTGACTGTTGTTTTATTATTGTTATTTTGTTTGGATTCTAAACTCTCAACGTTATGAAATTGGGTAGAACTAGACACTCTTTGTTATTGTTGTTGACATGCTGTTATGGAGTTATTGATTCCGCTAATACGTAAACGACGCGTTCTTTCAACGATTTTATTTAGACTATCTTTTAACGAAGTTTGAATATCTCAGCAAATGCAGTGTTCCTCACATTTTTTTCTTGGAGAAAATGGAATATTCAGGGCAGTGCACAGCAATGAGTGGCG